GTCGAATGAATTGCTGCTTTCCGTTTTTCTGGCAATTTGAACCACTGTGCGGCGGCGGGGGGCAGAAAATGGCTTTATTATGCTTATTATCATTGGAAGGAAGCTGCTGCGGGCGCCGCGCCGCGCTGTCATTACCCGCCATCGCCCGCTTGTTAGCTCCATTATCGGAAATCGGAAGGAGGGGGTGGGGCCGGGCCCCCCGGAGGGAGGGGGCGCCACAGGGCGCGTAATGGGCGAGCGCGCTGGGTGGGTCGAGGGGTGGGCGCGCCGCGGGGGGTCCTCGCATTTCGGGGAAGCTGTCGTCGCACACACTCTCTCAAACGTTGGGAAAGGATGTCGGATGACGCGTTCGCCTAAGCAGGTTCCACGATGGCGTGCACCTGTGTTTCTGAAAAGGGAAACATATTCTTGTGTGTTCGTTGACGTATGATCGCTACTATTATCCAAACGTATAGTTCCAGATTTTGGTTTATTCCTCATTTTGGTTTACAGTATTAGTTAGGGAGACGTATTAACTCTTCATATAAAATAAGTGCTACATACAAGGGATATTAACTAAACTTTTATCTAGCTTAACTCTACATACAAGAAAACAGATTCTGAATTAAAATCATAGATGGAGTATTTGTATATGAAAAAGGAGTAAATGACGTTGACGTCGTCTATACCAAAATTTTTATTTGTTAGATAAGTATCTTTTGATAGCATCATCACACCTGCTGAAAGTCAATATTTCAACTACGTGGAAGAGAAGAATCGACTGTAAACTTTGCAGATGTGCCAATTGAATTAATTAAATGTTGATAAGGACATAAATTTAAATTATAAATTCAAGTAAATAAAATGTTTAAATTAAATCAATATTGCAGCCAATCTGTGAGTGAGAAATTGTCCAATTGCATGTTTAGATTCTTGTTCATACATCAATAATCTGAGGTGCAACGCATTTGCTATACGAATAAACTGACCGACTCGCCGACCTGGATACGAGTTCTGTTGTTCGTACGAGGGATTGCCTCAGGAGGGATTAATGCAAAGCAGACTAAGTATAGGGTCTCATTTTTTAAAAAAAGATTTCAAATAGTTTACAAATCTGTAAAAATATTGTAATGTATCTAATTTTAAGTTGCAAAGGTTACAGTTTGGTTTAATATTAATTTTGATTACAATGCTCATATTTCAGTATTATTACGAGGCTTCATAACTGATCATGCTTTATCCGTAATATGTTGATCTGTCGTCCGTAATATGTCTGCGTTGCGTCCTTCGCTGCTCCAGCGGAGTGTGTGGTGTCTTGGTTGTCAGGAAAACGACATATTTAACAACGAGCTAAAGTATATTAATAAATGAAAGAAGAATGCTCTAATTAACTTAGTAGAAATACTTGAATATAGGAACGTGAGTCAAGGAAAGACCTGTGTACGAGTATAATCTGGCACGCTGAAAATTTGTGATGTCTGAGCTAAGAAAAATGTTTTATATTTTTCCGGAGTCCGCAGACTCGCTGACGACTTGGAAAGGCTCCAGCGAAGAGAGTCAAATTATCCGTATCAAAATAGCGATTATTGCTTAGTTTACTTTACTCACCTGTATTATTAGACATAAAACTTTGTGAATTTTATCGCGCAACCAATCACACAACATATACCACACGTATTCCATTAATGCATGTGCTTTAGATATTTTGAAACATATACCCCCGTTCTGGACGCAACGGCCTATTATGAATTGCCAGTTTCTCCTTTTATACCTCATTTATCAAGATTAATGCGCAGAGGTAGATTGCCCATTGGAATATTATTATAATTGAATTAATAATAATAATAATAATAATAATAATAATAATAATAATAATAATAATAATAATAATAACAATTATTATTATTATTATTATAATACAGATAGATGCTCAACCATGACCTCTGCACAATTTATTTTAATTAAAATGCTTTTAAAACATACCCGGATGAAGAAGAATAATTTCTCATGGTCACTTTCGGGACCATTATTTTAATATTCATATACTAGGGAGATGTTTTTCGCTATTTACAAAAAGCAGGTTGATGGCTTTACCAACATTTATCCATTTAATAAGCAGCTTTCAGCGTCTTCGCAGCTGAGAGCACAACGATACCTTCGGATTTCTCTAAGTAAAATACTAACAAATTGCCTTAACTTTGTGGTAAATTGGAAATTTTGGGGGCTTTATTTTCTTCGAGGTAGGTATAGACCTCTCCTGTAGTTTCGATGTTACAGCTTGTACAGTTACAACGACTAACCCTACGAACGCAACGTGTCAAGGTGTTTGTTCCCGTTCATTTGTATGACTTTTTTTATTTAAAGTTGCTTTGTTCTTATTTTCTAGTTCTACAACCCGATTCAGGCCATAAGCACCTCGATCCTTGTTGGAGTCTAGACCAGTGAGATATGCCATTTGATGATGGATGATCAACCTATCGCTCAGCTCTAAGGACGGGAAACAGAAGGGAAGGACAGTACGCAGGTCGTGGCCCTTTGTATGAGGCGTTCTCTTAATGCCCGCCGCTACCACCGTTGGTAGTTGCATTGATAAAACGTTTTTTTCTCTTATCTTTGAGGCTGAGAACGCGTGAGAGAAGTTTTTAAAGCATCAGAATGGGTGTGCTGATCAAAACAGGACATCGACACTAATAAATGTGTTCTAGAAATAATGCTAATAATAATCTTCAATAAATTACTTTTTTGTGCCTATACAAACATCAATGAGTTAATAAAAAGTTAATTTTTAACTTGGTAAAACAGTTAAAAATTAACTTTGTTAACTTATTGATAATTAAACTTATTTTACACACTTATACTTTCATTTGTTGAGCTTTTTCGTATTTATTTCACCTTCCATTTTTAATAACATATAGTTAGTAATTCTACTTAGAATCATGTTATTTAAATGGCTAATGCTTGTGCAGTGTAGGTTTTTGTTATGTTCTTAATAAAGTCTGATTTTGAAAGATTGTTACAAACGTCTTTTGGGACAATCATTTTTTTAAATTTTTTTAAAATTTTATTTCCTAATTACCAAAATCGTAATGAAAATAAGAGTATTCCTTTTTGTAACGTAACTGTACATTTTGGCGAAGCGTAAAGGGCTTGGTTACATTATCAAGCAAACACCAGGGCTATGATGATTCAAGTATCTCACCTTACTCACACACTCTGTCACATTACTCACATTTGTTTTGAGAAATCTTGTCAGGAAATGTATCATTAGTAGCAGAGCTGGTGGCAAACCGAAAAGACAATTGCAAGACTGACAGCTTGTTAATGAAAGTTACTGGAAATATGTTAATCTGGGAGTGAGTGTTGCAACTGAAAAGTGAACTAAAAGTGAAGTAAAAAAGTGAATATGAAAATAAAATAGTTCCAATTGCGGATTACTACTCCTATTGTTGTGCATATGTATTTTTTATTGAAGCTGTCGTAACAAATGAAACCAGTGAACTAACATTCGACGTTAAAGAGTAATATCCGCCCCTGGATCAGATATTCAGGTGAACTAAAAGAAAAATAAAAGCCCTGTGATTAATCTTGAAAACAAAAACAAAATGTCTTTTAATTTATTAGTACATCTCCTTAATTATTTTAAGTCTAAATGAAGTATTGAAACTAAACATGTTTCAGATTCAGAATGTGTTGAACAATCTTCTAAGGTGTTGAACTTAAAGCTAGATACTTGAAATGTACTCAGAAAGTAATTCAAAGTAATATCAGTTTCAAATCCCAAGAGTTAGGGTTCTTGCGTGTTAACATGAGAAAATCAGGCGGAAGGTTTTTAAAAATCACGCAACTTGTCAATGAAAGTTATAGTAGATAAATGCTGCATTTGTGTAGTAGCTAAAGAAAATTTGAATAGTCATTTAGTTATTTTAAATAGATTACAAACAATGTCGAAACTGGTACACCTTAGAGAGCAGTTAATTGAAGTTCATATAAAATAACAATCTTATAACAAAATTTTGAGGTCCCGAGAAAAGTCAAATGACAGAAAGACTATTAGAATTTAATGATCCTCGATTAGTTGTTTGAGATGCTCATTACCTTACGTTGTATTTTCCATATTTAATATTTCTGAATAATGATTGAATGAGAATCATTAATTTGATATACTTGACAGGAAACAATAAAGTATCATTTCTAAAGATCTGGTTACTTCTTTTAAAGCTGCCTTCGCTACAAAGGGTGCTTACGCTCCCCACACAAGCACACACACACACACACACACACACACACACACACACACACACACATACATACATGAACATAATCACATTCACACATTACTTTAATTGTTAATGCAATTATTGCATGTAGTTTATATCTAAGTGTTTACAACGTTTTGTAAATGTATAAATAAGTTTTAGAAAAAGAACTCCGACGATTTCTTTATTAATACAACGAATTCTTATTGATACGACGATTTATTATTAATATAGCCGCTGCCACAAATCTGACTGACTTTCTGATGATGATAATGATGATGAATATAATGATGATGATGATGATTAAAAATAATTAACAATAATAAAAAATAAAAAGACAATAATAATAATAATAATAATAATAATAATAATAATAAATATAAAAGAAAACTAAATTCAAGAATAATAATGAATCAATGCCAGTAACTGCGTATTTTATCTCAATGTAGTTATGAATGACATTCCATCGTGGGAATCGTGGGGTCTTGCAGGTGCACTGTTGGGTTGGGTCGGGTCGAGCCCGCGCCGCTCCCTCCACCGCCCCTTCCCCTCTCCTTTCCTCCCCCACCCCGGGGAGGCGCCGGCCACTTTCTACGCGCTCAGCGGCGGCGGTCGCCGACGACCGCACAGGCGGCGCCTCACTCGCGGCGTGGCGCCCACCGCCTACGCGTCCGCCGCCGCCGCCGCCACACCAGCGCATTCCCTCGCGGGGAGATCCCGCGGCAGTTGCACGCTGCAAAGCCGCGCGGCCGAGGATCACTCGGGGCCGCCGCCGCCGCCCCCCTCTCTCCCCCTCCCGCGCCGCGTGCTCCCCTATCTCCGCGGCCGCGTGCGTCGCACCCACCGCCGCCCGTCCTCCCGCCCGCTCGCGTTTCCGCGTGACGAAATTGCCCAGTCCATTGGGGAACGTGATACGTTAATTAAAAGGTCTCGGACCCTCGCACGTCACCAATGCACACATCAGCCAATGCCGTGCGGCAGCCGGCGCGCCAATGGGGAACGAGGCTAGTGCCACAGCCGCCGCCGCCACCACCACCACCGCCGTCGTCGTCGTCTATAAAAGGAGAATCCTAAGTTGGAGTATTTGTTGCTTATTATACCCCCCGCGCTCTGACAGCCGGCGCAGTGTGCGGCGTGACAGGCAGGCGGGCGGACTAGGCGGACAAGGCAGGCAAGTGAGCGGCGCGCGCGCGCGTTACGAACACGCGCACGCGTGACGTGAAGGGCTCGACCGCCGCGCCGCCGCTGCCACCCACCCCGGCACTTCGTCCATCGCGTGCCCCCCGTCACGGCAGCCATGTACTCCCTCAAGAAGCTCGCCGTCCACTGGAGGACGATCGTCGTGGTGTTGGTGCCGTTGGTGTTGCTGCCTCTCGCCATCCCGGACTCCAGGGTCAGTACCAGTCTTAATTTTTTTTCTTTATTTCATTTGTTTTAAAAGCATTTTTATGCCGTTGTTCCCAAAGTGTGTTCCCCCGAGTGCGCGTTTCACATGCGGTACCGATCCACTGCTTTCTCGTGTAGAGGAGTTACTCTAAGAAGGGACCAGTTGGACTGGTCTGGAAACAAAAACATAACATGTAGCGCGATGGCATTGCAAATGATGGCGATGAAATCCATTATAAATATTATTATTATTATTATTATTATTATTATTATTATTATTATTATTAATAATGAGCGAACTAAAGGAACTCGTTGACGAATTGAGTGCAGGGACAAAACCCGTCGTATTATAGTAAACAGTGGCCAAGCACAGGCTGTCAGAGCGGTCCCTTCTTACAAAAAAAATCTCTCCTCTACCTTGGCGGTCAAGAACATCCCCCTCAACTCGCCTGCTCGCCCGTTTCCCCTTCGCGCAGACCAATGTGGGTCATCGGAGCGAAATGCATCGCGGGAGAGAAACCTCCTCCCGCGTGTGGGTGGAGGCGGCATTTCTTTACCGCGCGCCGCGCCGCGCCGCACCTCGCCTCACCGCGCCCGCGGACCGTCCGCGCCGGAATGCGTCAACACACGCGCGTCGTGACGAGGGGGCGGACAAGTGGCAGGCAGGCGGGCGAGCAAGCGGTCAGGAAGCGCGGTTGGCAAAAATCGGCGGCGGCGGAAGAAAAGTGACGCACCTCGAAAACTGGCGTTTTGTAAAACTTTGAGTTCTGAGCCGAGTAGTTTGCCTCGTGATAGTGACGTTTTACGTTTTTACACAGGGTGGTCCTCTGAACGATTGTCATGAAATATATAATTGACACCGCCCTGTCACCGATGTGACAATTGTTAAAACAAATTTAATTATTAGATATTTATATTTATTATTATAAATAATTTTCTGTGTGTATTTAACTTAAAATTATTTCGTTAATTGTGAACGTCATTGGTGCTCTGCGGGAGAGTTCGGGAATTGTTTTGAGATGGACGAAGAACAGGAGGGAAGGGTTTTTGAAAACGAGGCGTCTTGGGGAGCGAGAGACTGGAAAATGCGGCGTCGCAGTGCGGTGATGGTGCAGACGTGAGTCGGTCGCTGCGGAGCGGTTATCGCGCCGCGAGTGGACGATAAGCGGCCTCTTGACGTTTGTAGTGTTGTCGCGAGATGAAAGCGCTCGTCGCACACGCGGCCCGACGAAGGAGACCGGTCACGTGGCGGTGAATGAGACTTTGCTCCGTCAGCGGTGTCCGTCTGGCGGAAAAGTTAATTTGTCGCAATGGAAATTTAAAGCGGTCTGATACGAACTTTCATAGTATTTTTTATCCGTGTATGTTTTCTTGAGTCCTCACTTCAATAAATGCGAGGGAAGCGGGATGTTAGTTATTTTAAAGACACTGTTATATCAAATTTGTAACTTGTTTTTCTTTGCAAAATAGTTTATATTTTGCCAACAATTATATTTTGTCTCGTCACTAACAGTTATTCTTAATTAAACTAATGTTGGTGAAGGAGTGGGGGTAGATGATTCGGCACTCAAGAAACCGTGCGTGTATAATTCCAGAGGTAGTCTTTGGTTTTCACACTTAAAACTGTTTTTGAAATTCAATGTACAGGCAAATGCGTATACTTTTTTATCGGTGTAATTTTAGGAATGGTTATTTAATCGCATTTCTCTGATCCTCCAAAGTACGAGTAGTAGTACAAATATTTAAATCTTAAAAGATAGACGATAAATATTTATTTTACAATGTTTTTCATTATCATCGAGGGTTATTAATATTTGAATGAAGGATTTTTAACACTAATATAAGCAATGATTGATAAACTATTGTTGTTCAAAGTGAAAAAATTCAGCAGCATAGTATTTATAAACGGGGATTTTTTTGTAAGAAAGTCTTAAAGGTTACAAGCTCTCACTAAAATATATTTTATCAGCGTCACTATTAAAAAAAATTCAACTCCAGATCTCTTGTACGTGATCAAACCCTCTATTTCTACTGTTGTTCTCAAAAGCGACTAAATTTCATTAAAAACTATTTCGCGAAATGATAGTAATATATTGCTACATACTTCAAAATTCGAGTTCATATTCCCCTTTGTATTCGAAATACGGTAGTCTACAAAATGTGAATTTAGAAATTATCGCCGTAAATTTTTTGCAATGAAATTAATGAACTGCCGGTAAGGTATGCGCTGCTAACAGCGGAACAAAATGTAGAACCTAACGCCTGAAGTTGTTTAACACATAACAAAAGTTATTTTTCTTCTTTTATTGTTGAAAAACTAGTCGTATCGGAACTTGACACTTGGGACGTGATACCACTTACCCTATTACAACCATCACGTATTAATGCGAATTTGGGGTTGTGCACTTTTAAGCTCACAAAGTAATGTTCACTTCCAATATGTTAACAAGGTACTGAGAGGGTTAATCGTAGAAACCGAATATTTTTATAGCCCTTGTTTCTACTTACGTTACTTCAGAACACTGGTACAAAAGTTCCAAGAAAGAATACTTAAATGAATTTCTAATTTCCTAGACTTGGCTTTCTGTGACGCAACGGCAGTTACAGGAACTCACTGGCTCAAAATTCCTAACAACTGCAATTTGAAACTAGCATCGAAATTACACTCGTATTTCTCTTCAATTACAGTATAGCTTGATCATAAAAGACACAGTTTCTCGCTTCGCGTTTGAGACCACTTAAGATTAAGTAAAAGAACACCTATTGAAATGACTGGAAACATTATATTTTGCCCCTATTCCGTCAAGTCATTGCATTAAGCATTGTTGATACTTCCGATTGAAGTATCGACATTTTTGTTTTCGGAAATAGAAATATTCAACCAATAACACTTTGATATTGTTATAAACAATGTAGATTCTTATCGAAAAATTGCGTAATTGGAATGCACTTAGCAACTGTTAAAATTACGAGAAAAACCCTCAAAGTCGAACATGTAGTGAAGAAATTAAAACACAACAATACAATTACAGAAATGAACCTGTTATTAAATTTTAAAAAATGAAATAAAAACAACACAATCGTGGACACATTACAAATGTGTTTAACTATAGATATTGAAATTAAATTCATAAACCTCTCTTTTTATTTTAATGAGCTGTCAATCACATTTCTAGTAGGTAGGCTGCAGGTTTCACACTCTAATACAACCACATTTCAGAGATGTCCATTGCCACCTGGCAGGCTGTAGGGGGATGGGGACCAAGTTAAAGATTAATAAGTCTCCCTATCTTTTAAAGAAGCCTTCAACCACCTCAGCATGTAGTCGGGGAGACTTCAGTATGCACCAAACGTTAGGATACTTAGCACTTTATTCATTATAATGGTCAAAACTTGAGGCGCGTTTTTTACCTCTATCTCGCATGACAGAATGTTTTATATAGTCATTGACAAAATGTACAACTTTTGGCATATTTAAGTGTGCAAAATATAAGTAATTAATTGAAAATAAATGTGTGTAAATCAATAGCAATCGGTTAATTATAAGGATACTGAAAACGGGATTAAGGAAGTTATAGATAAGTAAAATATTGCATTTTGTAATTAATATATTGTTTATAATTACCAATTAATATTATTTGTATTAATATTAAAGTTCGTTGGTACAGGTATCGGTACTCAGATTTGAATTATGTTAACATCGTGTTGAAACAATTTTCGCAACATCGCCAGTTTGCGTTCACGCACTACCTTCGCTGTGATACCGAACTACCCGTGGCGAAGTTAGCTTTATAAGTGTTTGGAGGTTTTATATTTAAAATTAGGAATGGTAAGGCAGCACATGTAATAAATTTTTCGCACGGAGTTAGCCATCTACGCAAACTACTTCTTAAATATTTTAGTACTAAATATTTTTGTTCTAAGAATGAAAAGGTGTGAAGGGATGAATGTGTAGGGGAAAGGTAGAAGTATTTAAGAGTTTAATTGGGATAAATATCCCGTAGATTTGAACAAGTCTTGGAAAAAGATTGAGTGAATACATCCTTGCTAATCTCAATTTTTCCCCTAACTTAAAGATAATGTCGGTGTACAAGAAAAATGACACATCTGAAATATTGTCGTTTTGTCGTTATGCGACTCAGTGTTGTCTCGAGAACGTAGTATATTCTATTAGTAAACATTTCATTATTTTCTAAACACACATCAATTAACATCAAAATGATGCTTTTTAAAACTGACATGTCCCTTTTATTGGAAAATTTGCAAAATTTCACCTGTAAAAAAAATTCCTGAAGCAGCTCTTCATACGCCCCACGAGTAGATTAATAGGCAAGTTGAAAATAACCGTTCTTATCCCCATCAGATACGGACCCTCAAATTCTTTTTTAATCAAATTTTGTCCATAATAACAATAAAAATATTCTAATATTTATTTTTAAAATTGCAGAGTTTAGTTTATATTCATATTTCTTTTCTCTTTTGAGTATCATTAGGGAGTTCCACGCTTAGAACTCCTTGAGCGTTTAAGAGTGACCTGTACGCACCGCATTCGCGAAGTATCTATGACGCCGAACCGGCCGCGTGCGGACTTGGACTTCGCACAGCTAGGTCTCGCCGGGCCCACTTGGTCCGGCGGAGCGCGGAAGTGGCCGGCAATCTGCTGCATGTGGAGCGCCGCCGGCACCCATTGTCGCGGCCGTTTGCCTGTCTGCCTGCCTGCACGCCTCGCTGGCCATCCGTCGCGAGGCGAGGCGCGGCGCGGCGAGGCGGGGCGGAGCGGGCGAGGCAGCGGCAGCAGGAGCGGGGCGCACAAGGCATCAAGGCTTTTGTCAAGAACACTTGCGAGTGTTAACCTACATTTAACTCTGCCGCCGCTGTCGTCGCCGTCGCCGTCGTCGCAGTCTCCGTCGCCACCGCCGCAGCACAGAACGCGACGCGAACAACCACGATGGTTGTACGCGACGCGACGTGACGCGGCGTGACGCGACGTGACGCGACGTGACGCGA